GAAACTTATATTACGCGTAATATCCTCTCCCTGTCTCTCAAAGTAAATTATCTCATGAAAAGTTCGAAATAAAACGAATCGAACGTTTCTTCTCGAACAGCGGTAGCGTTAAGCAACAATCCAATTCTTACATTTTCGACCGAAAAGTGTACCAATATTCCTTCACTGGGACGAGTAGCCAGCTAATTTCTCTCCGACGAAACGTTTCCTGTACCGTTTCAAAAGATCCCCAACCTTTCTTTTCTCTTTTCTCAATCGATGAAATAGACGGATGAAAGGAAGAAATCTCTTCGAGAGAGTGGATTGGAGACGTTGAAAATTAGCCTGGTTAAATTTATGCTCAACGGTGTTCGAAATTTGTGAATCGAAAAAAAAAAAAAAAGAAAAGAAAGGAAATGGACGATTCTCAAGAAATATCGATGCTTAACGTATGCTCGCTCGTCTGATGACGATGACGGAGGAGATGCAAATAGAAGAAGCGTGTACCTTCGTGAGGATAAATTGTAGCGCGATAGGGAAGGAACTATGATGGAATATGACGAAGCGAGAAATTAAATTTCCTCCTTTCTTCCTTTCGAAAGCGAGGGAGGAAGAATTTTCGGGGAATCTTTTGTTCGAAATTCGTTCGAAAGCGTCGCGAATGGAAGGAGGGAAGAGAAAAATTGGTAGTGGAAAAGCGTGGTGCATGCACGAGCTCTCGATTTAAAGTATATACGCTTCTTCGCCTCGTTCCTCGCCGTCACGCGTCATTTGTATCTCCCTCGACGCGCCGCCTCTCCCCTTTGAACTTTATCGATACGTCTTACCCTCCTCCCTCGCCCTCGTGCCCTCGTTTCGGCCGAGAGCAGCAACAGATGCCGAGAAACGTCAAAGAAAACGTGTACGAAAGTGGTGGGGGAATGGCGGAGGCTCTAACCTTCCTTCCCTCCCCACCCCTGCAACCGGCATTGAAATTCCATTTTCGTCTTTGCGCGGCCCGTCGAATAAATTAAATAAACCGCGACGAACGAGACGCCAGATTCGTTAAGGGATATCCTTCCGCCTATGAGTTCGTATCTTCCACACAGAGAGTTGTGGAAAGGATCTTATCTTTTTTTTATTTTCTTTTCTTCTTTCAGATCGTGGATTGAACGGTGGTTGAGTAGTTTAATGTTCGTTTTAGGGGAGAATTACGATGGTCGGAGGAGGAAGTTAGGGGATAATATAGGTTGTAAAAAGGATTTTTATCACGAACGGATTTGGATCTTAATGGTTTATTTTATTCGAACGATGGCTTGAAGCTAAGGGAAAGGAGTATTTCCTCGAGCCGTGCGACGTCATTCTCGATGGGGATCGGGGTTTAAAGGGGAGAATGGTTGGATTTTCCCGCCACGGTCGTTTATTAATATCGTGGCGAATACGCAACGGTGCCCTGTATAAATTAGCTCGCCAACCCGTGGCCGATATCGACTCTTTCTTCAACCGAGGCCGGTGTTTCTCTTTCTTTTTTCTCTTCTAAGTCTCCTGTGTAATATCAACCGTGCGACTCCGTGCTCTTTTATTGAGTCTCTTCTTTGTATTTTCTGATCTTCGTTAAAATACCAAGCTTTTTATTTCTCTTAATCCCCTCCGGTGTTATCGTCTTCGGACAAGATTTTTACCAGTTTTTTGCCGCTCGGTTTTATGATCGTTGATTCGGTTAGAAAAATTGTTTCGGATGAAATTGCGGTTGAGCAAGTAAGAGGGAAGAGCTGAATGGAAGTGAAAAAGTTGAAAAGATTTTAAAACCGTCGATATTATTAATCATTGCGCAATAAAAATCGAGACATTATCAGCTTCGTCCTTCCGCTCGAAATTCAGATAATGAGAATTCTTCTTTGACACAGCGATACAGCTTTAAGTGTTCGATTTTAATCGGGAAACAGAGTGAACTTTGATCTATAATCAATGTGTTTTAATTAAATTCCGCAACTTTAATAGAGAAAAGTCTGTGTGTTCGTCGATTCCTCGATAATTCTATTCTTTTTCCTTTTTTTTTTTTTTTTTTTT